CAATATAATTGCTTGCACAGTGCTCCTTGAGATATTTAAAGCTTGGGAAATCTTTTTGTATCCAAATCCGACTTTAAACTTCTCCACAACAGTATCTCGGACCTGCCTGGTGTGTTCCTTTGTCTTCATGGTTCTCTCTGCGCTTTAAACAGAACCCTGAGACTATCAAAGAGCAGGTGCATTTATACGGAGACTTGATTACACACAGGTACATTCTATTTATCATCATCAGTCATTTAGGACAACATTGGATCATTCAAAGATCCTCACTGAACTTCTGGACTGAGTTTGCTGCACTGAAAGTAAAGGGGCCGAATAATATTGCACGCCCCACTTTTCAGTTTTTTATTTGTTAAAAAAGTTTAAATTATCCAACAAATTTCATTCCACTTCACGATTGTGTCCCACTTGTTGTTGATTCATGACAAAAAATTAAAATTTTATATCTTTATGTTTGAAGCCTGAAATGTGGCAAAATGTTGAAAGGTTCAAGGGGGCCGAATACTTTCGCAAGGCACTGTATCTATCTATCTATCTATCTATCTTATCTATCTTATCTATCTTATCTATCTTATCTATCTTATCTATCTTATCTATCTTATCTATCTATCTATCTATCTATCTATCTATCTATCTATCTATCTTATCTATCCATCTTATCTATCTATCTTATCTATCTAGCTCTCTCTGCTACTTCTTGTGCTGACTTGTGTGTTGTGTTTTCCTGCTTAGGGACTATGTATGAAAAGTATCTTTGAAGATAAAAACCCGGCATATGTACATGTGTTCCCTATTTGGCTGTGTCCCTATCAAAAATAAACAAATGAATAAGATAAATACGACTTTATGTGCGGGTCTAAACAGCACTGCAATTCAAATCGATGGACCTACATTTTTGATGAGAGAGGTGCGAGCTCTCAGTGACGTCACTTCAAATATAGCCTGGTCTCGACACTCCCCCTGCGCAGAGAAGATAAAGTTAGCTCCAGGAGAAACTTAAGATCCACAGAAGCCTTGGGAACATGGCCGAAGGAAAGCCCATACAAGGAGGTCAGAGCGCAGGATGACGCAGACCCCTCACCCTTCTGTGCAAGAGGCAGGACTTCATCAGCAACACCAGAAAACAGAAGAATACAGACGATACACAACTTTAAACTGCAGATTATGAATGAGATAGTGTGGAAATGTTTTCTCTGCATTTGACCCATATCCTGAAATGCCACTGGAAGAAGCTGGGGGGTGGCTAAATACTGAATACATGACCAAAAAGGTATTTTGTATTTTGTAAGTACCTGTATTCCGAATACTTAATATAGTGTAAATCTGTAATCATTTGATCATATTTTGTTGTATTTTTTTTTTTTAGACAAGTCAAAGTGCTTCAACAGCAGCCATCAACAACAACAACCAGAAAAAAATAGAATCTTTACTTTAAGAATATCCAATGTTTTCTTTGTAATGGGATTACATGTATTCCGTTACTCCAACACTGAATCTCTTGCATTATTATCCTTTATATAAGTTATTTTGTAAATTACTTGTTATATTTCTTTATGCATATGTTTTTGATGTATTACACTATTAACGATGGATTACTTACTTGAGGGACTACCTACTTGCTCACTTGCTAGACTATTAAATGCCTATGACTGTATAAAACTTGCTCCAGCAAATGTTAAAAAGAAGAGACTTTTTGTCCTCACAAAGGCTGCACTTGAAGCTGCAGGTTTTCGTGTTGTAATGTAACACTTCACCAACAGCTGATGGAGGAAAAGGATCCTTTTGACTAACATTGAAAAGTAAACTCCTCTAGCTCAGTAACTATCAACAAAAATCTGTGGTTTAAAGCTTTCTGTGATCCTGGTGTTTTTATTTTGATACTGTATTTGTAAATCCAGACATGAGTCGTATAAGCGTTGACCAATAAGAGGCCTTCATTCGCGGGGGAAACTCCAGCTTGTCTTAGCGACCATCTTAGTCTCACGTCTGCGCCTGATACGGCGTGCCGCTAATGTCGCCAGAAACTGCTCATTTAAGGAAATGTGACTTATGACTCATATCAACCAACTTTGAATCATGGTTCATTGTTTGTGTTTGAATACACTACGTTTTCGCTTCCATATTGTTTTTACTGTGACTGAACATCTCTGATTAGCTCCTCCATCTAAGGTAAGTTATACTTCATTTTCCCATTGGAGCGGGCCCCGGTTCCAAAAGGTCCATGAGTAGATGCGCTGACATGCCTGCAATCTCACTGCTTGCCAGTGGGGGTGTACCTGGAAACAGAAATATCTATTGAAATCTAATGATGTCTTCTTCTTGAAAACGGCTTTACGGGATGGTCCAAAAGTCGGCTCTTGGCTCAACGCTGCATTCCAGATGTGTGTCAATGCTGAGGGGAGTCTAGTTTTCTTTTTTATATGAATGGGGCTTGGGTCGACTCACAGCCATTTATAAAAAGACAGCAGCCAGCAGGAGGCAAAAGTGATGACGTATAAGTTTCAACGGCGGAGATAGGCGTCACTACATCTGTTCATTCTTACAGTCTATGCCTTGTCCCTGCATTTGACCCATCCTTCCAATGCCACCCGGGCCTTTTGTTTGGAGCAGTCATCATTGTAGTACAGTACATCGCCGAGGTCACATCTCCAGATGGCGATGCTCTTGGTCCAGACCGGAATTAGAGGATTTTACCTGTGGAACATGTTTTTAGTGATAGGCAAAACCAGAGGAAACCTACATCCTTGAGAAGAATATCCAAACTCAACACTATACCTCCAAACTCCTGTCTGGAGGTGGAGAACCCATGCAGGATCGGTTTGTGCTTAACTTAACATTACAACATAACTTAACATAACTTAACTCAACTGATGTAAACTTGTGGCATCTACTGTCGTGACTTGTTTTATTGCTGCCAGCTGCCGGACTCACCTCTTAAACATATTATTCATACACACGACTCTATTCATAGTCTATTGCTGCGTCTGTTGTGTGTCATGTGATAGTGTGAGTCTGCAACACTCTAAAAAGAGGTTTAAAAAGCACAGAACACTCATGACTCCCACGGATATGATCTCACATTCTTCTAACCCGAGGTAAACAAGAATTTATTCAGAAAAATCAACACAGAATGGCGCTGTTTATCATGTCATTTTGGAATAGTGCCATTTATTTAGTCATTTTTGATCATTTTATTTTGATGGGACAGAATGTATCAATCAGAATTAAGAAGCATCTTTTAGTGTCTAGAAAAGTGATACATAAAACTGATGCATTAATACTATTTTTAAATGGCTCTTTGTAGCTCATTTCAATGTGTCGTCCCACAGTCACACTCACAAACACACACTAGTTCAACGCTCACCTGTTATACATGTTTTTAGTGGTATATGAGAAACCTCCGCAGACACAGGAAGAACAGAAAGGATGATATTGATGTTTTAGAATCACTATTTTGTCTAAAAATATCTTTTTCCAATGGAAATAAGACTCATACATTGACCAGAGAGTTATACATTTCTGACAAATCTTATGGAACACTGGCACTGGTCACCCTCTGGTCTCTCTCTGGTCTCTTTCCGATCTCTCTCTGGTCTCTGCTGTATGGTCACCCTCTGGTCTCTCTTTGGTCTCTCTCTGGTCTCTTTCTGGTCTCTTTCTGGTCTCTACTGTCTGGTTGCCCTCTGGTCTCTCATTGGTCTGTCTCTGATTTCTTTCCAATCTCTCTCTGGTCTCTGCCGTCTGGTCACCCTCTGGTCTCTCTTTTGTCTGTCTCTGGTCTCTCTCTAATAATAATAATAATAATAATAATAATGCATTTATTTTATATCGCGTTTTTTTGGACACTCAAAGACGCTTTACATGTCATTATTCATTCACTCCATACACAGTGGTGATAAACTACTACTGTAGCCACAGCTGCCCTGGGGCACACTGACAACCAGTATGTGCCATCGGCCCTTCCAAACACCACCAACCATTCACACACACAATGGGGGTGAAGCTTGGCACTTTACAGCCGCAGACGCCCCACTGTGGCATCTGATGTCGTTGTGTCCTTGACAAGGAAGTGTCTTGCCAAGGACACAACGACAGCAGACCTCAGTGGGAGTCGATGGTGAAGGTTAGGCTCGAACCCACAACCCTCTGGCTCAAAGGCCAATGCTCTACCAACTGAGCTACTGTCGCCCGTCTGGTCTCTACTCTCTGGTCACCCTCTGGTCTCTCTTTGGTCACCCTCTGGTCTCGCTTTGCTCTGTCTCTGGTCTCTCTACCGATATATCCAAGTAAACACCTTATCTTGAAGTCAGAATACAAATCAAATGCATAATACATTCTGAAATGCAGCTTAAGCGGAGGTTCAGGATGGTAGACATACCTGCGTTATCACACCAGGCTTGACCACGCCTTACTCAGCCTGTCTTAATCAACTCCCTGCAGCCGTGTCAATCAAGCCAGCGTTTAAGAGCAAAGCAGAGCACAGCTCACCAAACGGACTTCAAGCTGCAACCACCTCCTCCCCACCTCCGCCTCAGGATTTCTTCACTTTCACATTCACCTTGCCTTGTTGCCACCACCAGTGTCTAGGCCCCGGGGGATCATGATCTGCACCCAGGCGCAGATCTCTTCAGAGCACGGCCACAGCCGGGGCCTAAGCTCCAAACCAATAAACAAACTCAATCCATAAAATAAACAACTCTTAAACGCATCTTGTCTCTTGTAGTCTCTCCAGGTTGAAATAAGTTGAACCAGTTTGATAATAAAGGCAGACTCCACACCAGTTTCTCCACATAAGACTTTATTTCATGTTCCTGGGTGCGTGTGATTAAGACTGGGTTCTGTTGGATGGATGACGTCTACTCTTCAGTGCTCCTTCTTCCTCCCTCTGTCTCTGTCTTTGTCTCTGTCTCGCTGGCAAAGTGCAAAAACCTTTAAAAAACACGTGATCACTGTCCACTTTCCTTCAGGCGCTGGCAGCTGCATGTTCAGGGTTTGGGAGTTTAGGAAGTCTCGAACATCTTCTTCCTGTCAGCCTTATCCTCAATGTTCTGGCGCCAGTCACCCACGGAATCTGACGACTGCAAACACCACACAAATTATATTATTGCATCAAGAACATTATACAATCGTTGGGCTGACAAGAACAAGAATAGCAAACTAGAGGCCGACAGATTTGAATGTTTTTTGTAGTAGTTTGCATGTTATGACCGAAAAAAAAAAAAATCACTGGCAAGGATGAGTTTCAATGGTAGGCACTGGAGTTGAAAATTAGTTGAAATAGCTATTAACTCTTTTTGCATCAGTTACCAGCTTGTTTGGTTATATGTTGACTGTCAACTAAATGAATACATAATAATGAATTCTCGAAGTTTTGATAGACTGAAAATAAATGAGGAAAATCGTCTGATTGAATTGGCAAACTGGTTTTACACTAACCCAGACCAGACCAGAGAGAATTCACGGTCCGAACCATACACATGAAGCAGAACTCCACTGGAGGAAGTGGATGGTAATGGAATGATGATAAAAATAATAATAAATAATAAAAATTAAAAATTAAATAATAAAGCATTTCCCGTTTTTATTCTGGAAATGGTGCTCCTACGGGGATTAATGAAATATCTATCTATCTTTTTCAATCGTTATTAAAGTCTCATGGCAACTAAGAGGCGTTGCACTGTTATTTGTTGATCTGTTTTTACTTTAGCCTGATACTTGTATTTAATGTATTATTATGCAGCACTTTGGGCAGTGTTTTTTTTTGTAAATGTGCTATAGAAATAAACTTGACATTGACATTAGTAAGTTTAATCTTGTCTAAGTTGCACTCATTTCCTCCTTGTTTTAGTCTGCTGTTTGTATGCTCAGGTATATGCTCAGATAAGATTAGATGACTTCAGCAACAGCTCATAAGTCCTGCAGTTCTGACTGGACTTTTATTCATTTATTTATTTATTTGACCGGGACAATGTTTTCAACTCACCTCCTCCTTCTTCTCCTTCTTGACCTGCTTCAGGTTGGACCTCAGATCCATGGTGACCTTATGTTTGGAGCCCAGCAGAGCCGCGAGCATGGAATCAGCAGACATACGCACTTTCTTCAGCGCAGGCTTCTTCACTCCCACCAGGTCCACCACTTTGATCTTCAGGTCCTCAATCTGCCACACAAACAAAAACACACACACACTGTCAGATGGTTGATGTTGAAGCAGTTGAGCGGCCACTGTTTTTCGGATGGATTGGTTTGTTTTTGGTCCTGAGGCTGGGTTTGTCCTGAACTCTTCTCATTAATTTAATGTATGTTCTTTGCAAATAAAAATATAACCACATATTTAACAAAAACCTCCTAAAATAATGCATATATTTGTCTTATTTTCTCATTCCTTTATCATCATATTTTTAAACTGTCAAAATCATTGGTCTCTGACTCTAAGATAACTACCTGAATGAATAGTTGTAATGATAATAATAATAATATTGATGATAATGCATCAGTTTTATATATTTATGATGAAGCACTTTTTTTGGACACTAAAAAAATACTTCACAGCATTATCTATGCACACAGTGATGAACTACTGCTGTAGCCACAGATGCTCTGGGGCACACTGATGTGTCTTGATAGAACGCAATGGCTCTCAGCCCCATTGTGGCACCTGCTGTTCCCAAAGGTCTCCCATCACAGAACTAACCATGCCCTGCCCTGCACAGCTTTAGAGGACACTATTGCCTGGAGCCACTAGTGCATGTTGAGGATATATTCTAAATTTGTGGGAATTGTAAATGAGAAAATAGCTTCATATGTTGCTTTTTCAAATGGAACTCTCTTCAAGTATTTTTTTTACTCTGAGATGAGACTTTGAGGCTTTGGATCACAAATGCAGAAATATCGTAAACTATCCAAAGTATTGCTGCCCTCCTTTAATCCCAGTTTAAAGCTTCTTGATTTGACACAGTCTACTGCTTTAGACTCGTCCAACTTTGGTTCTGAACATTTCCCTAATTTTTACTGTCATTTTAATTCCAGGTTTGACGTGGTACATGTCCAACTGACTCTCACACATATCTCAAACTTCCATTTCTGACCTCCTACCGCACAATCGTCTCCGTCATTCAATCGAGACGCACCTCTTTGTCTGCCTTCTGCACTTTGGCCTCAGCGTCGTACCTCTCCTCATCAATCTTGTCGATCAGAGCAGAGATTTTCTTGGCCAGCTCCTGTTACCACAAACACAAATGACACTTTCAAATCAAGCTATGGCCAGATCAGAAGCAGCTGGATCTCTCCTGTTGTGACCGTGACAACCATAACTGCAGAAAAAATATGCGTGTGTGTGTGTGTTCCTACCATGAGGGCGGCCTGGTCCCCGGACATGTCTGGGGCGGGACAGGCCTCGATCATGTAGGCCTCCTTGGCTGCGACCAGGTCTTTCTTCTCCTGCTCCAGCCAGTTCGCGGCAATCCCAAGAATGAGACTCTATACGCACAGAAACACAAGATAAGAGAGATCCTTTATTCGTCCCACAGTGGGGAAATTTCAATGTTGCAGCGCACAGACAGGACAGTAGTAAGAGCACACAGGGGGCACACACAATATACAAAATAAGTAGTAGCTGTGTTTCTTAGCTAGCTGTAAATGCTGTAAATGCTTCAATACCAGAAATACAACAACAACAAATATATATATATACTGTGTACCTGTATGTAGTGCGGAGATATATACTGTACATATTTCAGTGGACATTCTGAAGCTGCAGTATTGCACATTGCACATGGTTTAAGTGTTTAACTCGGTAAAGCTGCAGAACTATCACGGCCACATGTTCAGTCTTCTCAGAAATACCTTGAGGTGATGCCTGCGGCTGGATGTCATCTTTTTGCTGTTTAGGAGAAAGAATTAATTAATTTTTTGTATCAATAGGGACAGTGCCCACACACACAGAAGGTAAAGATGCAGGTTTTTTAACAGTATTTTTGGACATTTTTTATGACTTTTTTTTTTAGTCCTTTCTTCTACATTTCTTTCTGAGTGGTGAGTGCTCATATCTCATAACAAGACTGGAGTAGACCTTTCTGTGAGGGGTTTGCATGTTCTCCCTGCGTCTGCATGTAATAATCTGGAGTGTCTCGGATTGTAGTGGGTCAGAGGGGGCAAGTTTCTATGCTATTTTTAGTTTAAATATGGTACTGAAGTATTTGTGCCCCTGGTATCAGTACCATACATATTTTTCTCTTTTTTTACTGTCACTTCTTACATTTAAATCCAAATATATGGCAACATAGGCAATCCCACAATATTTTAAAGTTTATTTACAGGTGAGCAGCAACGTAAGGCAACATTAAAATGTCTGGAGTAGGGATTCTCACATCAATACCTACAGGTCGGGTGCGTAGGATGGAACTGAATAGCCTAATGTGAGAGAGAGAAAGATTCCCGCACAGCGTCTTTCTTGCAAATTAAAAATCATTTATTAGAATTTTTTTTTTTTTTTTACTTATGTACAAATAAAAGGTTGTCCCTTTATGCTTAAGTGAGGGCGGGAGGGGCTGGTATCACTTGGCTAGGCGGGCTATTTTTGGACAAATTTGAGAGATTTTTAGTATAACTTAATATATTTGAAGTTTCTGAAGTACTTTGAAGTATACTGTAATTATTCCTATTGTGTGGCCACTTTTCCATAAAAGAACCGAAAATGGGACAGTTTTTATTTGCCCTGATTCCCACAAAATCTCACACATACGGATCAGTGATGTAGTGATTGACGGATGTAAGTCCCGCCTCCCGCACACACACCCAATCTCAGATAGTCCCACAATGGATTCAAGAAAAATATACATATTGTCTAAAAATGTTTTATTATTTTCATGGGGATCTTCAATCTGAAGACACAGGAGGAAGCTGCAGGGAGTTTGAATATGTCAGAAAAATTTAATAGATGTCCATCCATCCATTTTCTTCCTCTTTGTCCATTTCTGGGTCGGGGGTGGCAGTCACAGCTGCACCCAGTACACATAGATGTACAGTACAGTAAAAGATGTGATTATTGATAATTTAATAATCACATCTGTCTTTGAGAAGGGCTATGTCTTTGAGAAGCCCCACACAGTATGGATATTGAGCAGCCGCCAAGAGTTTACTAGAGTTTTTTTTTTTTCTCTATCTTTGCTCTGTCTATGGTGCAAGTTGTCAGCCTTGTCCCAGGGCAGCTGTGGCTACAGTAGTATATTTTGATAAGATTGTGAAGAGGGACTGACATCAATGTTTTATAAGGGGCATGATACAATAAGTTATGCTAATATATTTCTACATTTCCTTTATCTGAGGTATTCAATCCATTGTGTTTATGTGAAGCGCTAAATCAAAACAAAAACTGTCTCTGAGGACTTTACAAAGTTGTCGATTGCCAACAACAGATGAGAGAATCAGGAAATGCAATTATCAAGAGTTATTTTTAATGTAACACATGCAGACGTATCAGTCAGGTTTTTATTATAATAGTTTTGTAAATAAAATATGAAGAGAATGAAAATACTTACTCAGACATCTTGGCGGTATATGAGGATCACGACCTACACACACACACACGCACGCACGCACACACACACACACACACACACATTATTTTGGGTGCTTTTGACCTCGGCGAGGCTCCTGACATCAGCATGTTCTGAGAAGGTGCAGTCACACACACATATTTGAGCTGTAACGCGATCGTGGGGCCACAGCTGAGGAGCCGCCACCACGGACTAAACTGGGACCAGTGGATCAGATGCCAACTGCAACTTTACGACCATTACAGATACTTTAATGTGGAAAAATATATTTAAATTCAATTAACGACCAATTATCAACACTGGCTGTTAAGCTTATTAGATCACATGTAAATTATTATATGATTTTATGTTATAATAATCTGTATACAGTTAATGATTCTGATTCAAAAAGATATTCCGCAGCCATTATGGACTAACAACTCATGTACTGTCATCAATACTATGCAATAATATTAATTTCTTTTAAATTTGTGTTATATGTTTGAAGAAAACGCATATGTTATGTTAGGACATGTGACGTGAAATAACCACGTGATAATGAAGGAAACTAATTCTGCCAACCATCAATTTCCAGTCAGCTACACACAATAAATGTCATATATATATGGCATACATACTCATAATAATACCATTAACTAACCATTTTTTATATTAAGAAAAGTCAGGCAGTATCCAATGTTGTATCAGTGAGCAAATGATTTAGGTATATATTAATATATAGTAATTAATATTCAAATAGTAATGCTTCTACATTAGGCTATAATTAACTAGCTTCTTTTTTATGCCTAAAGCAATATATTATTATATACTAGCTTCCATGGTATGTATTTATTATGTATGTGATTAAAGCTCTTCATTTAAGTCTAGAGAATTTTAGTACTAGCTTCTTTATTATGCTAAAGCTAGAGATTTTATACTAGCTTCTTTATTATGCTAAAGCTAGAGATTTTATACTAGCTTCTTTATTATGCTAAAGCTAGAGATTTTATACTAGCTTCTTTATTATGCTAAAGCTAGAGATTTTATACTAGCTTCTTTATTATGCTAAAGCTAGAGATTTTATACTAGCTTCTTTATTATGCTAAAGCTAGAGATTTTATACTAGCTTCTTTATTATGCTAAAGCTAGAGATTTATACTAGCTTCTTTATTATGCTAAAGCTAGATTTTATACTAGCTTCTTTATTATGCTAAAGCTAGAGATTTTATACTAGCTTCTTTATTATGCTAAAGCTAGAGATTTTATACTAGCTTCTTTATTATGCTAAAGCTAGAGATTTTATACTAGCTTCTTTATTATGCTAAAGCTAGAGATTTTATACTAGCTTCTTTATTATGCTAAAGCTAGAGATTTATACTAGCTTCTTTATTATGCTAAAGCTAGAGATTTTATACTAGCTTCTTTATTATGCTAAAGCTAGAGATTTTATACTAGCTTCTTTATTATGCTAAAGCTAGAGATTTTATACTAGCTTCTTTATTATGCTAAAGCTAGAGATTTTATACTAGCTTCTTTATTATGCTAAAGCTAGAGATTTTATACTAGCTTCTTTATTATGCTAAAGCTAGAGATTTTATACTAGCTTCTTTATTATGCTAAAGCTAGAGATTTTATACTAGCTTCTTTATTATGCTAAAGCTAGATATTTATACTAGCTTCTTTATTATGCTAAAGCTAGATTTTATACTAGCTTCTTTATTATGCTAAAGCTAGAGATTTTATACTAGCTTCTTTATTATGCTAAAGCTAGAGATTTTATACTAGCTTCTTTATTATGCTAAAGCTAGAGATTTTATACTAGCTTCTTTATTATGCTAAAGCTAGAGATTTTATACTAGCTTCTTTATTATGCTAAAGCTAGAGATTTTATACTAGCTTCTTTATTATGCTAAAGCTAGAGATTTTATACTAGCTTCTTTATTATGCTAAAGCTAGAGATTTTATACTAGCTTCTTTATTATGCTAAAGCTAGAGATTTTATACTAGCTTCTTTATTATGCTAAAGCTAGAGATTTTATACTAGCTTCTTTATTATGCTAAAGCTAGAGATTTTATACTAGCTTCTTTATTATGCTAAAGCTAGAGATTTTATACTAGCTTCTTTATTATGCTAAAGCTAGAGATTTTATACTAGCTTCTTTATTATGCTAAAGCTAGAGATTTTATACTAGCTTCTTTATTATGCTAAAGCTAGAGATTTTATACTAGCTTCTTTATTATGCTAAAGCTAGAGATTTTATACTAGCTTCTTTATTATGCTAAAGCTAGAGATTTTATACTAGCTTCTTTATTATGCTAAAGCTAGAGATTTTATACTAGCTTCTTTATTATGCTAAAGCTAGAGATTTTATACTAGCTTCTTTATTATGCTAAAGCTAGAGATTTTATACTAGCTTCTTTATTATGCTAAAGCTAGAGATTTTATACTAGCTTCTTTATTATGCTAAAGCTAGAGATTTTATACTAGCTTCTTTATTATGCTAAAGCTAGAGATTTATACTAGCTTCTTTATTATGCTAAAGCTAGAGATTTTATACTAGCTTCTTTATTATGCTAAAGCTAGAGATTTTATACTAGCTTCTTTATTATGCTAAAGCTAGAGATTTTATACTAGCTTCTTTATTATGCTAAAGCTAGAGATTTATACTAGCTTCTTTATTATGCTAAAGCTAGAGATTTTATACTAGCTTCTATATTATGCTAAGCTAGAGATTTTATACTAGCTTCTTTATTATGCTAAAGCTATAGATTTTATACTAGCTTCTTTATTATGCTAAAGCTATAGATTTTATACTAGCTTCTTTATTATGCTAAAAAGCTACGAGATTTTATACTAGCTTCTTTATTATGCTAAAGTCTAGATTTTATACTAGCTTCTTTATTATGCTGAAGCTGAGAGAATTTATACTAGCCTTCTTTATTTATCCCTAAAGCTAGAGATTTTATACTAGGCTTCTTTATTATGCTAAATGCTAGAGAGTTTTATACTAGCTTCTTTATTATGCTAAAGCTAGAGATTTTATACTAGCTTCTTTATTATTGCTAAGCTAGAGATTTTATACTAGCTTCTTTATTATGCTAAAGCTAGAGATTTTATACTAGCTTCTTTATTATGCTAAAGCTAGAGATTTATACTAGCTTCTTTATTATGCTAAAGCTAGAGATTTTATACTAGCTTTTTATTATGCTAAAGCTATAGATTTTATACTAGCTTCTTTATTATGCTATAATGCTAGAGATTTTATACTAGCTTCTTTATTATGCTAAAGCTAGAGATTTTATACTAGCTTCTTTATTATGCTAAAGATAGAGATTTATACTAGCTTCTTTATTATGCTCTAAAGCTAGAGATTTTATACTAGCTCTCTTTATTATGCTAAAGTTATAGATTTTATACTAGCTTCTTTATTATGCTAAAGCTAGAGATTTTATACTAGCTTCTTTATTATGCTAAAGCTAGAGATTTTATTACTAGCTTCTTTATTATGCTAAAGCTAGAGATTTATACTAGCTTCTTTATTATGCTAAAGCTAGAGTTTTATACTAGCTTCTTTATTATGCTTAAAGCTAGAGATTTTATACTAGCTTCTTTATTATGCTAAAGCTAGAGATTTTATACTAGCTTCTTTATTATGCTAAAGCTAGATAGATTTTATACATAGCTTCTTTATTATGCTAAAGCTATAGATTTTATACTAGCTTCTTTATTATGCTAAAGCTAGAGATTTTATACTAGCTTCTTTATTATGCTAAAGCTAGAGATTTTATACTAGCTTCTTTATTTATGCTAAAGCTAGAGATTTTATACTAGCTTCTTTATTATGCTAAAGCTAGAGATTTTATACTAGCTTCTTTATATATGCTAAAGCTAAGAGATTTTATACTAGCTTCTTTATTATGCTAAAGCTAGAGGGATTTTATACTAGCTTCTTTATTATGCTAAAGCTAGAGATTTTATACTAGCTTCTTTATTATGCTAAAGCTAGAGATTTTATACTAGCTTCTTGTATTATGCTAAAGCTATAGATTTTATACTAGCTTCTTTATTATGCTAAAGCTAGAGATTTTATACTAGCTTCTTTATTATGCTAAAGCTAGAGATTTTATATAGCTTCTTTATTATGCTAAAGCTATAGATTTTATACTAGCTTCTTTATTATGCTAAAGCTAGAGATTTTATACTAGCTTCTTTATTATGCTAAAGCTATAGATTTTATACTAGCTTCTTTATTATGCTAAAGCTAGAGATTTTTTACTAGCTTCTTTATTATGCTAAAGCTAGATATTTTATCACTAGCTTCTTTATTATGCTAAAGCTAGAGATTTTATACTAGCTTCTCTTTTATGCTAAAGCTAGAGATTTTATACTAGCTTCTTTATTATGCTAAAGCTATTAGATTTTTATACTAGCTTCTTTATTATGCTAAAGCTAGAGATTTATACTAGCTTCTTTATTATGCTAAAGCTAGAGATTTATACTAGCTTCTTTATTATGCTAAAGCTAGAGATTTTATACTAGCTTCTTATATTATGCTAAAGCTAGAGATTTTATACTAGCTTCTTTATTATGCTAAAGCTATAGATTTTATACTAGCTTCTTTATTATGCTAAAGCTCGAGATTTTATACTAGCTTCTTTATTATGCTAAAGCTAGAGATTTTATACTAGCTTCTTTATTATGCTAAAGCTAGAGTATTTTATACTAGCTTCTTTATTATGCTAAAGCTAGAGATTTTATACTAGCTTCTTTATTATGCTAAAGCTATTAGATTTATACTAGCTTCTTTATTATGCTAAAGCTAGAGATTTTATACTAGCTTCTTTATTATGCTAAAGCTAGAGATTTTATACTAGCTTCTTTATTATGCTAAAGCTAGAGATTTTATACTAGCTTCTTTATTATGCTAAAGCTAGAGATTTTATACTAGCTTCTTTATTATGCTAAAGCTAGAGATTTTATACTAGCTTCTTTATTATGCTAAAGCTAGAG